CTATCTATCTATCTATCTATCTATCTATCTATCTATCTATCTATCTATCTATCTATCTATCTGTCTGTCTGTCTGTCTATCTATCGACTGACCTCTACAGTTGGCAATGACCTTCCCACTAAGATCTCACTTAGTAAGTCAGCAACCATTTTATTTAAAGTGCCTACTATGCACCAGACCCTGAACCTTAAGCACTGGGGATACAAAAGCAAAAATAATCCTTGCCCTCAAGAAGCTTACATTCTAATGGAGGAAATGACATGGAAATAACTAGATAAATATGTTATATACAGAGTAGATGGAAGGCAATCTGAATGTGAGAGGCTAGCTGTGTGACCCTGGACAAGTCACTTAACCCCAGTAGCCTCAACAAAAAGCAAAAAGAAAAATTACTAAAAGTGAGAGGCGCTAGTGGCTTTGTTTTGTAATTCTCACACACTATATAATGCTATGGATTATAATGGCTGTTGTTGTTGAGTCATTTCTGTAACGTCCAACTCTCCGTGACCTCATTAGGGGTTTTCTTGGCAGAGATACTGGAGTGGTTTGCCATTTCCTTCTCCAGATCATATTACAGATGAGGAAACTGAGGCAAACAGGGTAAAGTGACTTGCCCAGCATCACACCGTCATTAAGTATCTATACTGGTTCTCATCTCTTTCTTAGACTATATGCCTTGTGAAGGAAGGGACCATGTGTTATCTAAACTCTAGACCCACTCTAGTGCCTAAACCACTGTTCCACATCCAGGGCAGAATACTGTTAAATATGTATTGCCTTTATAGGTTCTACAAGGGAATGTTTAGCTTCTTCATCCCAACAGTCTACAATCTTGCCCCCACTGACCTCTCCAGCCTTGTTTCCTCACCTCCCACCATTCCCTTACATCAGTCTTTAGCTGCTGCCATGGAGGCCTCTTCATGGCCTCCCACCACATACAGCTCCAGTCCTTCATCTGATGGCTCCTTCTGCATAGAATACATTTTCCCTCTTCTGTTACAATGACACAAACTATCGGCTTGATCCAGCCCAAGTCCTTTCTCCCCAAAGAATCTTTCCCTGACTCCTCCAGGCCTAGCTGATCTCTCTCCCCTCTCCTCTGCCTCTCCAGCCTTACCTTGCTGTCTAAACCAGGCAATCTAACCACTGTCTTCATACTGCCACTCATCTTTCTATTACTGGTCTGCGTGTTTGTGTGTGTGTGTGTGTGTGTGTGTGTGTGTGTGTGTGTGTGTGTGT